TAAGGAGGGGACAACAAATCAGCTAATTGTAGTTTTCAATAGTTTTTCAGTCAATGTCAATCAATTTGTAGTGAGCCTTGAAAAAAGTTTCTGTCAATAATTAATTGTAGAATCATGGTTCATATGAAGACAGTCATCACCTTAGGCATTAAGTGATCGTCGCGCTAAATCGTGAGTTGATTGAGTTTTGAAATGTGTCAACTATTGGATTTAAACTCAGTAGTTTTGCAATTAATGTGCTCACTGGTAGACGTAAAGGTCATGGGTTCAATCCTATGCGGGGCCGTTGACATGAGATAAGATGGTTCAAAACAGAGCTGCTAGGTTTATTATCAATCCATATCAAAGTACTGTGTTATTTTCGTACAGCTTCACTTGAGTTCTACATCAGTCTACTGTAAGGACTTTGAGAAATATATAAATGAAGACATAGAAGTTTATAGTTTGGTATCGTAATTATATGAATATTCTTGTTATTAAGAACGCAAGTTCGATAGTTAATGCGTCTAGCATTTAGCGATTAAGTTGCAAGTTCAAGACCTGCCAGTTAACTGGGCATTAGTATCTTACATACTCAGAGTTGCTGCTCGAAACTAAGTACATTAATTCATACTTGGTAAATGAAATATATATATATCAATGATGTCATTATAAGAGAATATTTGGGTGATCCCGTTATCGATAATCATGACGGGATTGTGATCAGTCATTGTCGGCATATGTGCGGAAGGTTCTTGGTTCGAGTCTGCGTGTGGACATTAGCATTAGGGTGTAGGGATATTCGGTTGACGAACCACGAATAGTACGAACCTCACATCCTGGATTCCATTGTTAGCCATAAATCTATCTATTCTATAAAGGAATAGTATTATGTTTACTGTACTTTATAAGATAATTATGAATATGTCTCTTCATTATGATTATTGATTTTGACTCGCATCACTTAATTGAGTTTTCAAACTAATGATTCCAATCAGAAAATCTCCACTTCTCTTGAACATCCATTTCTTCCTAAGAAAGTTATCATCAGGGTAAATAATAGAATAGTATGTGTATAACCCAGGACTTGGTCCTCATTCCCAATCATTGAAAGTTTAACCAATCTGAGTTACTTTCCATAACTCTATAAAATCTTAATATTTCAGTAGGAAGCCTTAATTCAAACAAATGTAATTTCCCCACATCATTGATCTGTATCGATATCGTATCTTACGAACATGAAAATTGGGCACTAAGTGAGCAACTTGCCAATATACTCAATTCTTGATAAATAAGGGAATATTTTGGTCTGTAATAGATTATGCATAGCAAAGGAAGGGAACTATTTCTAATAAACTTCTGGATGTGTTCAAGTATCACATTAAGTGGGCCACTCATAGAAAATCACAAAATGTCTCCAATTAACATATTGACATGTATCATTCATGATTGAAATTTAAGCAATCATCTAATTCACTTTATCAATGAAATGAACCAAATTTAACAGTGTTTTTCATCGATCTATAGTAATCAGAAATCGTTACTTGACATACATAATAATATTAGTTATATTAGTTGTGGTCTGAATTTGGATTCATCAAATTTGATTGCATAAAAATGTTTGTTCATAGCTATCAGTTGATTCAAAACAGAGAATTATTTGGATTGTAGAATTTTTTTAGCCAAATTGTATAACTAATCCTCTTTCAGTGATGATTTAATCAGTGTTACATGTTTGAAACTGTTCTATTTGAATGTTACGATTATTTGCCTCAATCTGAAAAGATGGAACAGCATTCAATAAATTTAATTGTATGATCTAAACACTGAAATCTTCGAAATGTGAAGAGGTATTACCTGAGTATTTAAATTTGTTAACTGTTCTTATCAATAGATTTCACTGAGACCCATGTTTGTTGTTAATGCTGGTAATTTAGTATGCTCAAATTACTAAAGTTACTTAGATTGAGTTTAATTTCAAACATCATTTCTTTATATATTAACATAAATTGTTGTATTTACTTAAAACAGATTCTAATTCTCTTACATTCGACCGATTTTCTAAATGTTTCTAAATGACCTGATGAACCGTATAAGTTCGGATGACTGACTGCTTTTTCTCGCGGATCGTAGTTTGCCCATTTTCCTGATAAATGTAAACTTTCAGTTAATTTTTCCATATTCCTTCAAATATTTTAACTGACCATCGTTATACAAATAAGAATACATTAAAGTAGGTAGGTGGAGTGATCAAAACAACCTAGCGGAAGCATCTCTATCCAACTATTTCAATATTGAGTCGTCTAGACTAGGGTCCATATTGCAGTTTGATCAGAACTAAAGCACTAAACAAATATGACACTTATCACTACCACTCGGTGATCAATAAGTTGTGGGTGGAGTTATCAAACCCACTTGATCACTCCACTTACATTTGTTATGATTAAACTAAGAGGTAACAAAGTACTTATTCTGATACATATTGATATTGGAACATGTCAAAACTACTCTTATTTATTCAATCTCAATCTCGTCTACATTGTAATATTATCATTCATCACAATGTTTTTTTATCTCTGTCTGTATCTTTTCCACGCATTACATTAGGCATTCGGATACAGACGATTGCCATTTCTCCCGCATCTCATTATGTCCAGTCTTCTTACCAATTACTCATTTGTCTCTCTCTCCGTGGCCTGCACACTCACCCGCTCAATTTGTGTAAATAGCTAACAAATCAATTGAGTAGTTTTATATGGAATGACGAATTTTCTACGTTACTCAAAAGAGGGAAAAAAACTTGTATTTACTCATTATTGCCATTACTACCTATCATCAATAATAATACTCTCATTAGTATTATTACTACTCTGTTTCATTGTCATATCGTATAACATAGTATTATAACAGATTGTTAATTTGACTGAAATAAGTCTTGTCTATCTATTTGCGTATCATAGTTATCGTTGCATTACTATTGTGTATTGTGGTGATATTTATTTGTTTGTTTGCTCGCTCGCTCTCCCGCTCGTTCTTATCTTTTCTATGTGGTTCTCGACACCAGCTGTCATGGTTGCGTTTGACTTATATTATTATTATCGCTATTGCTATTTATACAAACTCTCTCCATACACTATTAACTCATCGTCATGGTGTACATCAGAGAGTTAGTTAGTGATTCACGTGATTTAGTGTACACAGTAAGCTAACCTTTTCTTTCTAAAATGAATTAAAAAACCAACACAACAAGACACAAATATGAAACAAAAACATGCATGAATTTTTTATGAAGAAAAAACCCACTTTGCTAAACATGCATACACATTATTAATAGGATGGCCCATTATATATATTAAGTGCATGTAAATACGTATACACAACCATCATACGTATGTATGACGTCTCGTACTATAGTCTTTCACACTTGTCAATAGAGATAAGTAATGTATGACTCGTCGTTTTTGCACCCCAATAATTTTCTCTCTCCTTCGTCTATTACTTATAATCTCTCATTTTACATTACTTACTCTCTATGGCAGTTTTTTTAAAATATAATGTATGAAGAAAAACAGTCAGTATATTAGTCATAAGTCACATAACCCCTAAAAATCTATGTAAGTATCCAATCGAAATTCTACTCTTCCTTTCCACCCCTTACATTATTATTTTTTTCAAAGAGAGGATCGCACACACAGTAATATGTGTACCCTAAAAAAATTATTATTAAAGAATACACTGGATTGTTGTTGAAGTTAACTGCCCCAAGACCAGACGCATATTTCTCTCCATTTATTAGGTGAGTGAGTGAATGAATAAATAAATAAATAAATAAGAGAGACGTATCATGCAATGAGAGATATGTCACAACATTAATATTAACAACAATTATCATTATTACTAACTAGCTAGACTATAGGGCCCATGATAATAATTGTTGTGGTGTAGAGAATAACACATACACAACTTGATAGCATACAATCTCCATAACTCCTATTCGTTAGTCATACATTTTTGTACGGGCACAGATATCCATAGTGTATGAGAAAAATAAAGGATCAGTAGTGTATTGTATGAATAGACAAAGTCATAAATTCGTACCACTAGTAGTAGTACTACTACTGTCTATATCTGATTCTTTGGGATTATCAACGTTCAATTTCTATTTGTGATCATAAATAATTGAGTTATGCATTGTATTTATAATAGAATAGTGGATGGCTACATTGTACACTGGTAATAACCACGTTATAGACACATCATTAGTGTCTAAAACTTTGAGGAAGTCTACATCAACAACTACAACAGCGTCGATACCGGTCACAACGACAATAATAACAGCGTCAACACATATAAGTGAGGTCAATTCTTCAAAACAAATAAAAAACAGGTCAACTTATCCATCAACATCATTTAATCCTAATTTAGTGGATCACCACCACCACCATCATCAATCTATTGACCTCATGTCTAATCCAAATGGTGGACTTGCGTTAGCTTCAGCTTTAGCTGGTATTTTAGGATTACCATTTCTACCGTCCATACTACCGCCAACGTCATTGAATCCTACGACAATGACTATGACAACAACAGCGGCAACGTCAGGGATAGAGACAACAATACCATCATCCATATTAGATAAATCACCGTCGGATATTACAACTTTCCTAAGTCAACATCAACAAACACAGCCGATGTTACCGTTATGGCTTCCATCGAATTATCAAAATAATAATGAAAATGTTGACATATTGACTGATAATCTTATCACAAATACCACTAATAATAATAATAACAATACTCCTGCTAATGTATGTTGTAAAAATTCGAATGGTCAAATAACAGATACACTTGGTTCGTCTGGTATCAATCTGAATATATCAACTATGAATACAATTCACTCGATGAATTCATTGTATGATAATATTAATAGTAATAATAATAATAATAATGCTGTAACCAATACTAGTAATAATAGTAGTCATTTATTTAATAATTTTTCATTTATTTTACCCTCTCAACAGACATGCTCTGATGTATCTTCAGATACAGGTCTGTACAGTCACCATTTACACCTGTACAGCAAACAACCCAATCAACATCAATTCATTTAACTAATTCAAATACAATCGATTCCATTTATTCAAGTGGTAATCCTAATAATAAATTTAATGCAGCTATGTTATCATCGATAATGACATCATCATCGTCATCAACAACTACAACACCGATACCAGTAACATCACAACAAAGCAATCTTGATTCATCAATAAATAATAGTTTATTGAATTCTATAGAACGTGATCGTAAACAACGTGAATTTATACCGGATTCTAAAAAAGACGATAAATATTGGGAACGTCGGCGTAAAAATAATGAAGCAGCTAAACGATCACGTGAAAAACGTCGACAAAATGATATTCTCATGGAATGTCGTATTAATCAATTACAAATACAAAATCATAAATTACATCATGAATTAATAGAGTTGAAATTACGTTTTAATATACCATTAAATGATGAAGATAAAAAATTTATGGAGAATCAATCATCAACCTTAGATGATACACAAAATGATGTATATAATGAACACCATGATCATCATCATAATAATAGTGATGGAGAATTGAAATTATCCGAAATGGATTGTTGTATGATGTCAACAACAAAGTCAAGAAATGATTCATTGTCGATGGATGATTCACAAAATGAAATGTTATTAAAAAGTGATCAATTATCATCAGTATCACCAACACCACCGCCATTATTGCCACAGTCGCCTACAACAACAACGATGTTGATGACAATGACGACAGCAACAGCGACAACATCTTGTACAACAGCGACTGTTTTGCCAGTGTCAACGTCTCCAATTGATCCATTAATTAATTCTATGGTAATGACAACGACATCCTCGTCATCATCATCACCTTTGTTGTTACAATCATTAAATCGGATGAATTGTGAACAACAAATGAATATTGAGTTGACAGCAACAAACACGACATCTACAACATCAGTTCTATCTAATAATCATAATCATACAGTTTCAAATAATTTTTTATTCCCTCAATTAAATTCATTGGATAACACTGATTTATTAACATTGAAACGTATATTCTCTAGTTTAGGTGTTGGATGTTTATCAACACCACCAACTACTTCATCAGTGACAATGAATCACCCGTCATCAACATCATCTTCAGCTTCTCCGTTAATTGCGGCAGCGGCAGCCGCGGCAGCTGTTGCCGCAGTTGCTACAAATGGCGGTTGTACAATGCCTTTATCACCTATTTCCGGAAACAATAACAATAGTGTATGTACAACTTCGACAACAGCACCATTTAATAACCTATCATCATTGAATACAACAGCTGCACTGTTACTTCGACAAGCTGGTTTAATGCCAGCATCTACTACACCTCCTCCTCCGCCGCCACCACTATCGCTACAATCTACTCTCCCAATACCTCAACACCATCAAACAACTAGTTGTGGACTGCACGACAATATTTCAGTTATAAAAAATAATAAAAATGATAAATTGTCATTTTCATCCTCAGTCATACCACTGACAGCGGGTCCCGCTGCTAATGTTGGTGGTGGTGGAAACGGCGGTGGTCGCTGTTCATCAGTACACTCAGTCAAATCAGATCTATCTAATAATTCAAATGATTATTTTGAATCTCCATTAGATCTTAGTTTATGTTTACAAATTAAATCTGAAAGTCATAATTCTGGTAAGTTATTTTTATTCAATTACCCCTTTCATTAGTTTAGAATTCTTGTCTTTAAATGGCTAATATATGTTGTAAAATACTCCACTGTTTAAGAATTCCATTGCAGTAAAAATGAAATATTAGATAATTGTTTCTCCTAACTACACATGAATATGACCGTACGTTTAGTTATCTACAACTAGTCAACTGATTCTACGATAGCTCACTAGTGATGATCTACTTCAAGATGTTTCTGAAGTTCTAGTGAGTAGTGTTTGGTAGAGTTCTGTCAGGTTGGGAATCGAGACAGTTATCACCAGTGGAATTGTATTACCCTCTTACTACATCGTAAATTGATCGGAGTTCTAATTGTGCCGTTGAACACTAGCCAAGTGGTTTTAGAAGTTTTACGTTCATTGTGAAATCTAGAAATCCTGTGTTTAATCCCTAGTGGACTTCTGTGTACACATTTCTGCCGAGTTTTATGCTAGAATGAAACAACTATCCAGTATTCTCCAACTCCCAACTATGAGAACCATTGCCTACAACTTGAATCAATCTTCACAAACCCTTTTAAATAGTTAATTTTATATTGTTTGTAATGCAGCAATATATCTAAGTGTATTTTGTGATGTAGGGAGTTAATAAAATACATGAAACAATTCATTGTACAATAAGAAATAATTAATGTAGAACGTATTTAAATTGTAAATCAGCCCACATTCTCAATCCAATAGCACAGCGAAATAAAATTAACTTGATGAAGTAGTAACGAAGTTGAAATAATAATAATAATAATGATGATAATAATAATAATACTAAAAACAATTAAACATAGAGAACATAGTTTGGAAAGAAATAGTGGATTCGTGAAGTAAAATTATGAGAAAATATCCAGATTTGTTACCTAAGAAAAGAAGGAGTCACTAGATCTCCACTACAACCGACCATTTATTAGTCATGTTTGTTCCTCGAGCCCCAACTGAGTAGTTCGCAACCTCACCCTAACTCCCGATATGGCTCAGACCTAACAAGCAGTGACATCTGGATTGATACCACATTTAGTTTACACATACCAAACTTTATTCTAACCAACTTTGCAACGTGAATGGAATGTAAGTATTAACATTTGTGGTTGGCTACAAGTTCTAAATGTTGTGAAGTTGAGCTTACTGTGTAACACGAATTTGAACATATTTAATCTCATCGTGATACAGCTTCAAACAAATGGGTTTTTTCATTATCACACATTTTATTATTACTCCTGTTCTGTTTAGTGTTCTCCAAATAATCATAATCTATAATTAAGGGTCGTAGGTTAATGATGACTTGTTGATCGTTAAGGATCAGATTTATTTTATCTTTTTCGGAATTCTTTTAAAATCGCAATTTCTTGTGATTATTTCTCACTTTCTATTAATCGATAACTATATTCTCCGTATTGGTTTTCTTCTGTATACTTCGTTATTACTATCTTTTATTCAGTGTTTAGATTGTTAAATCTGTTCGGCTTTTCAATAACTTAGTTTAAGGTTCGAACCAATCTTCGGCTACTTCCATTTAAATCACTATTTGGTACTACTAGCCTTTCCATAAAGTATAGTTCAAATATTAGGATACACATAGACATCTGTAATTGATAGATAAATGGGGTCGCGTTTTGACTTTTACGATTTTCCTGTTATGGAATACAATGCATCCATGTGTCACATTTCTAACTTCCTGTGAACTAACTGATCATTCTAAAAGATTAAATTAGTTTCATGTTAAATATTCTTATATCTTTTGCTCTGTCCAATCAAGATAGATATAGTTGACGAGATTAATTCAATTTGCTAACATCATTTCATTTCAGTGTCTCTGCTTAGACTCGTGCATCGTTCAGTTATGTTGAACTTTTATTGCTCGTTACGCAGTTAACAGGATTTCAATGATCAATCGTTTGTTAAATTGTATTAGTGATGACTGATTTCATGTTCAATTTCCATTTTGAATAATCTAAAAATACTATTCGTAATAAGGATTTGATATATTCCGTTGTTGATATTTAAGAATGTATTTTGACCAGTCTTTGTTGAAATCAACATTTGGATGTGGCAGGCAAATCCAGTTGACGAGTCGTTAATAGGATGAAATGCACTTCTTTCATTCCACTTCTAGTCATGATCTATCTATTCATAAAGATAATAATAAATTATACATTGTTACCACCATCATCTGTTGAACTCTTCTAAGGAGCAGATGGAAGCATTGAATTATTTGGTTTGTGTTCACCTACAAAATACAACGATTATACATTAAGATTCCAAATAGGGTTATAATGAATACCCACTATCTTTTGAAATGGTTTCCACGATCCGAGAAGTGACACACATTTATGTGTTTGTCGTTGACCAATTTTAGAAAATATAATATTGGATATATTATGTAGAAATATTGAAAACTATATAGTATGTTTAACCTTTCTGATTATAATCGAAGTTTCTGTATAGACAGAACTTGTCTGGACCACACGTTTGATGCAAGTGCACTAGTAACACTATTCAATTGTCTCCAAATCGAAGCAAATTAACTTGACATTCTCTATGTATTGCAGTTGAAAAAATTGAACTCTCTTTCTTGTTCATGTTCTCTGAAACTATTCATTGATGTTCATTCAGAAATAACCCGTATCATCCAATCATACACAACATCACACCACATCAACACAAGAGATGAAATATTAAGACAAGTCCAAGAGAAGTGGAAGTAGCGACGGTATACAACGACAGTAAGAAAATGTTAGGAATAGGTAATGTGATTCGACGACAGAATAGTGAAGACTGTTAAATTTACATCACCGAATGACTTTAAGTTAGACAGCTATTGAAAACCATGAATTACTGAACAAGTGTTTCGTTTTACTATACGAATCCTCATTGGTAACAAGTACCTACGACTCCACCTGGGAGGAGACAAACCCCAGAAACTTCAAACTTTCCTGGAGAGCGTCTAATCTCTAGATCATTGAGTTAGCATCGAATTGTTTACATTTCTAATTTCAGTCAGTTTTTTATATTATACCACTACCATTCACTGTAATTGATGTTATTTTTTTGATACTTGGTATGTGTTGAACCCCAATGATCGTGAATTGCCTCTATAAGTTAGTTACCAGTTAAGACATCGTGATTTTCAGTATAGGAGATTGAGGAGAATGATAAATTTCCAGATTACATAGTTATTAGGATTGGTGGTTAAATAGCAGAGATTAATTACTACTGTGTAATTGGCAACATAACTACTTTTTAGCCGTTGAATGGTTTAATAGTTCAATTACTTGACTTTTAATTTTCAGGCCGTAGAACTGAACCTTTACTTCAGTCATACAGCTGTTAGATAGTATCGTTCTAATCCTAAGACACTCGGTGTGTGACTGAAAACCAACTACATGAATAAATTATTGACATCACCTAAAGACAGTATCTCAGATATATTATTTCTTCTGTCTACACTATATCTTTTTAATGGAAAGGGATACATGCCTGTGAATTTGTTGCGCACCCATTTTTCCATGTTCAATCTATGTTCGGTAGTATCAAGCATTTTTGGGCATTTCCCTATTCATTTAGAGGGTGAATACTGAATGTGAGAGCATAATTTTCACTGATGAATTTATTTCAAACTTCAACTCTCAATTTATTTGCTTTTTCCATCTATGAATTTGACATGGTTTACAGTGACGGCTTCATATAAAAAAATATGTAGATAACTTAAGATGACTGAAATAAAATCGCTAATGAAAATCATATTTTTGTATGCAACACACTGATCCACTAAATGAATAGAGAAATAGTTGACAATGTTAGATATCTAACTGTTATTGAACAATGAAAAATGATGGTTATCCTTACATCTTTTAACCTTTTCTCATGATCTCATATTTTACACATTGAATAAAAACATGAAACACAAAATTAGGTAATCATCATTAAAATTGATAGTAAAATGCGTGTAACACACAATCCCTTGTTTTTTTTTTCTCTCTCTCTCTCTCCAGTTTTTGAATACTGATCATCTGTTTAAAAATAAAGATGATTTACATGAGTACATATCACTCTTAAGAGTGATTTGTTGCTATCACTCTATTTTGTCCATTTTATTTTACATAATAGACTGTTATTCTATCGTTATGGCGTTAATAGAGAAGAAGGATCAACACTTAGTAACAGGTTATTACATATATATATATATAATTTAATCTGACACACAATATGTATCTGAGGTCATAAGTATATGATGATGAAAAAGTTTTCTTTGTTTTTACTTCAGTCAATAAGGTCAAATGATCAACTATTCCATGAATAAAAATAATGATAAATATGAACATTGATTTTAAACAAGTTGATCAGTTCATACTTTGTTAACTAGCTAACAGAATACTTTGTTGTATAGGAAAAGAAGTGTTCAACTGTAAAGAAAGCGTTTTTTTTTTAAAAAAAAACAACGTATCTATGAGAGGTGAAGACAATTAATTGATGAATGTTAAGTCACAGTTTCAAATAACCATATCATTTATTTAACAGACAATATTCAAATCAATCACCTAAAGTAAATTACTTTTTTTGTGTAGGTTACAAGTTGATGTCTGTTTTACTTCTCACAATGATCATAAATTACAATTAACAACTTTTTTAAAATGAACATTAAATTGAAATAAGTCATTTTGAGTAGTTTAAATAGCGCAGGATATAATTGTTTCGTCTTAGAGGATTCTTAAGAGCGTACACTTCCTAGCTCTCATATTAAATCAATGTCCCCACCGCTTACTCTTAGTGAGTGCATGTGTTGTAGAGGGTCGTAGGTATACACTAGTCAGGAGTTTCAAACTAGACACTACTTATCTAAACAATTCACTTTATTAAAATAAATTAATTGAATTTTATGACCTTCATGAAATCATCAACGGAAGTGGTTGGAAAACGTATTAAGTATGCCCAACCGCCGCCAACCTTTATAGGCGATGTTGTCTGGTAAAGAAG